GGAGAGGGCCGGCGTTCCTGATCGTCTGCGCGTTGAGCTTGCGATAATCGATGCACAACCGCAGGTCCTTGTTCTTCTTCCGGACGAAGAGAACAGGAGCACCGTATGGCGATGAGCTAGGCATAAACCAGCCTTTCTCTAGAAGGTCGTCGAGTTGTGCCCGAAGCACACTTAACTCTTCCTCGCTCATTTGGTACATGCAACCGCGGGGAGGTACGGCCCCGTCCTCGAGGATGATCTCGCGGCGGATGGGTCGATCCGGTACTACCTCGTGCGGGCCTTCGAACACGTCGTTGTAGGCATCGAGAAGTTCGGTAATGCATGGATCCGAAGGTGAGTCCGTCGATGAAGCGTCATGGGGCGGGAGGGCGTGGAGAAAACACACCCCCATCTCCTCGATATCGTCTCTGATGATGGAAGCTCGCATGCTTGCGGCGGATACCACGTGGCAGCTGATCGAAGGATGAGGAAGAGGCACCGTGCATGAAACTAGTACTTCGTTCCGATCACGGATGTGAACGGTGCAGTGGAAGAAGTTCACCAAGTGATCCTCGCTTCACAGCCATGACATGCCCAAGATCATGTCGAATTTGGTGTCCAGAATGTCGAAGGACACCGCCTCACTTGCGTGAGAGGCAAAGTACACTGGGACGGCGTCAATGCACCGGTTAATGGACTTGTGCATATGACCGTCTGCCAAAGTGACTTGCGTAGGCTAGGACTTCCTCCGGACACGTGGGCCAAGGCCAACGCGTACCATGAAGTCCTGGCTAATGTAGTTGCGAGATGCTCCGCAATCGATCAAGGCGCTGCAGGTCGCCTCTCCGATCTGAATGCGTATGTATAGCAATGGTGCGTCAATGTTGTCGTACCGTTGCGTCTTGAACTCACGGTCAATCTTCGCGATGTAAGCGGGAAGGTCGACAACCTCTGCTCCGGCGTCCATCAACGACGTTGGTACTGCAGTGTGCAAGTAGTCCCACAATTGTGCCATAAGCACGTTGCAATGCGGTTTTGGCAATCGTCCGGTCGAGGGAACGGGCATCCACTGGAAGTCCGTGAACGTCAATGGGTCGAGCTCTTCAAGTCTTGACCATGACGTCGAATCCCCGACGATAGATTTTGACGAAGCTGCCGAATCGGTTGCCGATGGTGATGAAACTGTGCATGCAGTGGACTGTTGCACGTGGAGCGGTTGGTCCAGCAGTGGAACCAAGTGGACAGCATAATCCTCGTAAGAATACCGAGGACTTGCGACATTCGCATCTTCCCCAGATGTGCAGGAGGCCGCTAGCAAGCCAGTCGAATCTGGCGGAGTAAAAGGTGGAGTCGCCTCACCTTCCGTGGAGCTCAGTTTCCCGAGCTGAGGCGGGGTCGCACATCCTCCTTGCCCTGATCTTGGCACAGGGAGGTCTTGTGCTTGGTGCTCTTGCACCAGTAACAACTGCCGTAGCGGCCGCGGACCTTGTACTCCGCCTTGGTCAAGCCAAACTTGACCCATGGAAATTGTCATGGCTGTCCATTTCTGGCCTGCGATGCGGATTTCGCCTTCCCATTGTTGCGGGACTTGTTGCTTCGCGGTTGGACAGCAGCCACCTGATCTCCGTCACTTGATGCTGGAGTGGCTGCTGGGTTATCTCCACTATCCTGCTGGACTGCTACGAAGTGCTGCTGTCGTGGACCAGTTCGTGCCTTCTCCACATAGGTCGGCTGCCATGGTGACTTCTTGTGTGCAGCTGACCTGTTGGTCTTTATGATCTCTCTCGCCTTGTCGATAATCTCAGCGAAAGTGGAGTACTGCGCGCGATCACCAAGAGCCTGGCTCAATGCAGCGCAGGATCTGATGTAGAACTCACGTCTGAGACGAGTGAAAGGCAGCTCCAGATTGGGCACTGCCGCAATCTTCTGCCACTCTGTGAGCCAATCCCGTGTTGCAATGTTGCCCTGTGACATGGTGAACAAACGGTTGATGACGAGTATCGGCGCGTCGGCGACGATGAACCGCTTCTTCCACAGCCGTGTCAGTTCCTCCCATGTGATTTGGTCCTTCAAGTCTGGTACGTCGACGCCGTGGGAGGTTGCCAGGTGGCTCAACCAGGTCTGGCATCCGCCCTTTGAGTTCAGGAACAGGGCGCCGATGTACGCATGCTTGGCTACGGGCAAAATCCTGAGTTGCGTTGTGAATGCTTCCCACCAGAGGACCGGATCCTGCTGCGTGTAGTCGTCGAACCTCTCTAGATTGAAAGTTGGCATCTTATACATCTTCGGGTTGCCATCCGCGTTCGTGGTCTGCAGCTGCTGGACCTCGGTCTTCAATGTATGCAGCTGACTGCTGATGGTGGTGGTCGGCGCAGCGAAAGAGCTGATGTCGCCGAGCATTGCCACTACGTGGTCAACGCGGTCCTCCAGTTGGCGGCTAGAGGATGCACTGCTGGAAGCCCCAGCAGCTGGTCCTCGTACAGCCTGTTCCAGGTCCAGCAATCGGGCATTGAGTGCCCGAGTTGCATCCTCGTGGCTCTGCACCATGCAGCGGAGCTGTGCCAACTCCTCATGCTGTTGCGTCAGGTCCTGGTATTGTCTCTCCAACTCTGACCGTTGCTAGTTGCAAGCATACAACAACCGCGTCACGAGTTTGGAGAGGAACTCCTTGTGCTTCTCTTCCGGTGTTGCCTCGTCGCCGTTCGGTTCAAAATGCCAGTACTTGAGTCTGTCGATGTTGTTGGCGTCATGCCGCTGCAGCAGATCCTGGGCTTCCTTGCGGCGAGCCTCGGCATCTGCGTCTGCATCGGCCCGTAGCTGCAGTTTTTCTGCTGCTGCTGCCTCTTCAGCCTGTACGCGGGCAGCCTCGGCTGCCAGCTGGCGTTGTTCCTCAGCCTCTATCTGAGCCTGGAGCCGCTGCTTGTAGGCTGCAAGGGACTCGTTGGGCAGTTGGCCTGGCAGGCCCGTCATGACGTGGCACACTATGTCTGACGTGGCACTGCTGATGTGGCACTGCTTATGTGGCACTGTGTCTGACGTGGCACTGCTGATGTGGCACTACTTACGTGGCACTGCTTACGTGGCACTGTGTCTGACGTCACTGTTGACGTGGCACTGAGTCTGACGTGGCACTGTGACCTGGCACTGCTGACGTCCCACTGCTGATTTGGCACTGCTGACGTGGCACTGTGACCTGGCACTGTGACGTGGCACTGCTGACATGGCACTGCTGATCTGGCACTGTGACGTGGCGCTGCTGACGTGGCATTGTACCGAACCGGGATGCATGCAAGGGGTGGGTGGGAGGTAAAACATAGGTAGGTAACCAACCCAACAATACTTTCCTCCTTGCCCTAATCAACAAATAAAATAAAAAAATAAAAACAAAAACAAAAGAGGACTACTTCCCTTTTTTTTTTCTCTTTTTTCTTTTTTTTTTTTGTATATATCTGTCGATTTATGATGAGTAGGATATGTCAGAAGAGTATTATGAACGAGATCTAGGCTAGGTGGCGCAAAGTTTTGGCTTTTATAAACTGCGATCTTGAAATTTTTTTTTGTGAAATGGAGTAAAGATGCGATTTTCAGAAAAGAACGAAATCCAGTTTCTGAGAATATAGCAACCTCCGAATATGCCTAACGCAATATTGGTAGGCTTCGAAAGATTCGGTTTTCAAAAAAAAATTTGCGAGATAGAATGGAAATGCGATTTTCAAAAAAGAATAATTTCAGTTTCCGAGAATATGACCACCTCTATCGTTATCCCACTATGCCTAGAGAACGAAAATACTAACTTCAGAAATTTCAGATATGTATGCGAAATATCACAGAAACGAACTGCTACTATCGGGAATTTTCAGACAAAACGAAATGCGATTTATCAGAAATTTCCAGATATTTGTCACGTAAAAACGAACTACTAATATCAGAAATTTTCAGATAGAACGAAAATGCGAATATCAGGAATTTCAGATAGTTGTTGCGAGAAAAACAATTTTCATAGATTTGACTAAGTCCTACTTGCGTTACTAATGAGTGATCAATAGATCGCAAGCTGGCTACTTGATTGAGCGGGTCCTCTGAATGAGAGGTCCACTCCGATACCAAACTGTTGCATACTGTAACGTGCAGACCAGAACAAGATCCGACCTTTCAATACAAAGTATAAGATAGCACAACGGAAGACTTAGATACCAGTGATCTGAACAATCAATGTCGTAATGCAGCCCTGTACATACATCATTATCATCGTTACATGGTGTGAAATGGGCCTTGCGCTTCACACAGGAAGACTGCGCCAGCCCATACCATACACAGACGAAGACGAAGGGGATAGACGAAGAGGAGGGGGAAGATGGGAATGTCGTCAACACCAAGTCTTTGGCACAAGCCCAAATAGTCCCTCGTCGAAATGTCTGAATCCCAAATGTCAAGTCTGGATCCAATGTCGTCAAGTCTCAAGTCACAACTCTGTTTCTCTCTGTCGTAGTCCGAGAAGTCAGGTGGCAAGAGGGTGAGAAGAGAAGGTGGACTTAAAAGAGGAAGAAGAAGAACTCTCTCTCTCTCTATGTCCAGTACTAACCTGTGAAGTTGGCGCTTTGATGCAGGTACCACGAAGATGGAGCTGGAGCGATGGCGCCACAGGTAAGTATCACTGGCCTCCGCCAGTCTCTCTCCCACTCTACGATCCACCACCTACCAGCGCTGAAGACTACAGCTACAGCTATGGCGCCCAACGCCGAAGACTACAGCTAGCGCTAACTACAGCCTAGCGCTGAAGACTACTGCAGCGCTCCTCCCGAGTGCTGCGACCGAAATCCTGAAGACTACCACTGCCTACTGACACTACCTGCCCGTGAAGTGCATGGGAACTTCCTATGTACTACGGGTGTGCCTCCTGAGCCTGCCGAAGGGAGGCAGGGACTGCAGATGCAGCTCCTGCTCAAACTCGTGAGGAACAGGCTATTTCTGGCCTGTTCCGCATCCCTGTTTACGTGCCTGAGTCTTAGGGGCAGGTCGAAACAACGAGGGCCTGAAAATGGCCCTCCGTTTCAGGCTGAAAACTCTGGGTCTGAAAAGACCCAGAAATAGGCTGAAACGGGGTAGGGCCTGCAGGCCCTTGTTTTTCAACTTTGAGGTTGAAACGAACGGGGCCTGTAAGCCCTAAGTTTTAGGCTTTTAGGCTGAATGTTCGGGACGGGCCCTGCAGGGCCCGTGTGGCTACGCAATATGCCACACGAGGGTGTCCATGAAGTTACGAAGATGTGCTTCTTGCCGCTCTTACTGGTCACGAGGGTGTCTATGAAGTTACGAAGACGTGCCTCTTGCCGCTCTTACTGGTCACGAGGGTGTATTTGGCTTATCTGATGATGTAACTCGATCTTTGGTGGATGCCTACAAGGAAGATCCCGTCATGATGGACATCATACGCAAACGAGAGGCCAAGGACTAGGCTACATATGATGAGTTTGTGATCATGGATGGGTTACTCTTTCTTAAAAAGGCAGGGTTTAAAAGATTGTGTGTGCCGTCTAGCAAAATTCTGCGTAGTTTATTTTTATGAGAATGTCATGATGTGACAGGACATTCGGCTATAACAAGACTAGTGCTAACTTGTGCAGCGATTCTGGTGGGCCTGGTATGCTCGACAATGCAAAGAAGTACGTCCAGACTTGCCAAGTCTGTCAGTGGGATAAGACTCGAACTCAAGCACCACTTGGGTTATGCGAGAGCGCATCATCAACCTTGTTGTACTCTCCCTTCACATAGTCTAGCTTGAAGTTATACTAATCTATGACCTCTAACTAACGTTTAAGTGCATCAGAGAGAACAGGAGTCTTGATCCACTTGAGTATCTAATGGCCAGTTCTAAAGTAGAGGAACCTTCCCAACAGATAGTGCCTCCAATGGACAAGGGCATCGAGTTCCCTTTCGTAGGTGGATTCCGCCAACTTCTTTGATGGCATCTTCTTACTCATATACTCGATCCGCCCCAACTTCTTCCCTTCCTACCGAGCCATCATTGCGCTAGTGGCCACAATAAACGGTTTCCTACGAGCAAGGAGCATGAGAATTTCGTGATGTGTCAAAGCATACTTCAATCGCTTGAAGGCACCCTCGCATTCGTTTGTCTATTCCCATGGTGTGTCAACGCGTGTTAGATCAGTCAAAGGGGCGGCCACCGTACTATTATTCTTGACGAAATTGCGGTAGTAGCCGGTCATCCATAAGAAAGATCTGACCTCGGTCACAAACTGGGGTCGTGGTCAGTAACGAATGCTAGCCACCTTTGCATCTTTAGGACTAACTCCATTCACACATACTTCATGACCCAAGTACAAGATTTTGGTGCGACCGAACTCGCATTTCTCCTGATTGATCTTATACTTGCGTTGTCTAAGGAAGCCTAGCACAAGATCTAAGTGTTGCGCATGCTCCTCGACAGTCTTACTAAAGATGAGAATATTGTCGAGGTACACGACAATAAACTTATCCAAGTCATTATGGAAGACCTTGTTCATGGCGTGTTGGAATGTACCCGACGCATTGTGAAGGCAAAAAGGCATCACCACAAACTTGTACAGACCGTACCTGGTCTAAAATGCGGTTTTGTGCTGATCCTCCGGTCGGATAGCAATTTGATGGTAGTCGGACTTGAGATCTATCTTAGTAAAGTACCTACATCCCTGCACCCTATCCAGTAGGTCGTCAATGCATTGTACAGGCTCTGTGTTCTTCAGCAATGGCATTGAGGCCTCTATAATCTATGCAC